TTCAAGTTATATGGTGGGAAAGTTTAGAACAAAAAAGATAGAGCCAAATGAAATTATTTGACTTCTTATCAATATTATAAATGCGAAAGTTAAGATGTATTTTTGTTAGAGTTTTCAACCAAAATACTGAACATATTTCGACATAATTTAGCATAGATGTAGAGAATAGTCTGTAAGAACATATAGACTTCTTAATTTTAATTCCACGCAGACGAAGTCGAGGGCGAGGGTTAGTCCATACTAATATTATAAAAATGTTTGATTTGCATTTTTGCATTTTTGTATATATTGAAATAACTTAAAAACTACTGAGCAGATTTCCAAAATTCTTACACCATTAAGAAGGTACGTTATCAGTAAATAACATAGGCTATATATTTTATTATTTTTTTTATTACATCATTTATAAAACTATTTATTGCTACAATACGATTCACATCGCAAACTCCACAAATAGTCTGCAGTTCGCATAAAGGATCATGAATTTCCGCTTGATTCACTTGCATTCCTTCAAGCTTCGGTGACTTTAACAAACATACTTTGCTCAAGGAAATGGATTTACGTAAAGTTCAAACAATCGTAAACTATATCCTATAGCTTTGTTATTTTACTATCTACTGTTTCTTATTTAGAAGGAGAACATCTTATAAGTAAATTTACATTTTGAGTATTTTATTCTTTTATATTACACTTGCCTTAGCTTGCGACATTATTCGCGCGGAAATAAAATTAAATTAAATCGGTTTACAGGCCCTTGAGTTTAGTTGACAAAAAAAATGTTTTAAATGTAGTCAATAGATGGCGCTATTTTTAATTGTAAATATATAGTTATATAATAGGAATTTCACGTAAAATATAATAAAAAACGAATAACGCCTTAGCAAATGGGGTTTTAAATTGTAAAAGCCTTTCAATAGTTGAGATCTACGCTTTTATACAATTAGTATTTATTTTATTACAATTAGTGGTTTATTTATTTTGTTACAATTCTTTATGGTCGATTACGAAATGAACTAATTGGTTGAGCAATAATTGATAATAATTAATAAGTAAACATATTTTCATTAATTTTAAAATAAAGCACAATTATATAAAATAGCAACACATTTTATAAGGAACTTTCTTGTAAAATTATAATTTTTAAGTTACAAAATGTTGTGGATGAATATTTAATAACGTACTGGCAGCCAAGAAAGCAATAGAAAAAAATGTCTTAAAACAACGAGGATTTAGGCGCGAATGAGAGTACAAGTGCAAGATGTGACGTAAACAATATAACAACTTTTTTATTCTAACAAATGCCATTTTAACAATTTTGTAAATAGTGTGTGTGTGTGTGTTTATCAGCAAATAAAGAAGATATTATTAATGGTACGAGCTTACATTTATACACTTATTATTATGCTGTGTTGATTTTCGTTGTAATTAAAAATTAGTCAATATTTAATCAGACAGTTTGACATGAAAGTAATTGACAATGGCAACCGCAGGGGAAATCTTAATATTTACCACTTTCAATGACCATGGTCACGATTTGGACAAAATACAAATAAAAGCAAGGGTTTTATTTGCATAGGATACTGTTTTAATTTCCTGGATCTTTACAAGTATGACTAAGGGCCTGTCCCACCAAATTGTAAATTGTCTGATAACATTCCAACGCATAAAATATGTACTGGTAATGTCGGATTTTGCTACATTATCTTACCGTCACGTTTAAGCTATTTGAGCCTTTATCAGCCAGTGGTGGGACAGGCCCTAAAACTTGCAAAGTAAAGCAGTACATCTTTAAATAATCACTTACTTTACTTTGATTTCCATAGCTTTATTACGTTCGTTAACTTAGGGGCTAAATGTTTTGGATTAAAACCCTAATGTGGGAAAGAGACCATAAGTTGCTGCAAACATCAAGGAAGCATAGTTGCCTTGCTTTGTCATAACGTCATGTCATTTTAGCATTTGCAATTAATCATTTGACAAATGTAAACAGTAAAATAATGTTTTTATATTTCCATGCGGATGAAACCGCTTGGGAACAGGTAGTTTACTTATACACTTACTTCTTCTTTAGAACGATTTTTAAAATAATTATTTATTTTCATATTGACAGTTACACTCACTGTAATAATTTTGGTTTTTAATTACTTTAAACTAGCCTTTGCACGCGACTTCGTGCGCGGGAAATTAAAATAAATTTAATAAGTACCTTACATATGTTTTCATCCAGACTATGTTCTACATATTTGCTAATTTTCATTGAGATTGGTTTATTAGTTTAGGTTTGCATTTATAATATTAGTAATATTAAAATATCATAAGCATACAATATTTTCAAATTCCAATAGAAAATTTCATTTGTCATATAGCGCAGACTAACGAAGCGCGGTCGTAAGAGGTGATACCTCTGAGAGATGAAACCGACAAATTACATCTTGAAAGGAAAATAATATTAGAAGCGCCGTATGCTCGTATATATTCCCCTATGTTATGGAATTTTATTCCACACTCAGATGCTGTTATTGTCTCATCTTACGAAGACAATAACGAAATATTGTCTCTGGTTTATGCAGAGGAGTTCATAGATATTCTTTGCATACTTTTTTTGACATCTTCATTTTACTTAGCTGTGTTAAAATTTTTGATGCAAACTTTTATACAAATACTAGCTTTCGTCCGCGACTCCGTCTGCGTGGAATTAAAAGTAACAAATGTGAATAGCCTATGTGTTCTTTCAGATTATCCTCTACATCTGTACCAAATTTCATCAAAATCAGTTCTGCCGTTTAGGCTACAAACTCTAACAAACATCCATCCATCTAAACTTTCGCATTTATAATATTAGTATGGTTACCACAAACAATGTAAATCTTACTTAGTAAATAAGTGCTGAATCATTAATTTTTATAAATGATAAAATTGCAAATAATATAAGTACAATAGATTCACAGGGAAAAGAGCGACAATAAAAGTTAAGCCTTCATCCAACTAAGAAATGAATTGCTTGTAGACTTCAAACTACTTGGCTGCATCAAGTGGGTAGAAAGAAAAATACACGTTAAGAACCGCAGCGGGGTTTCCAATAAAAAGCGCTTAAAACTCCGCTCATGGGTCATGAATCTTCGCCGTCTATAGAAATGTGAGCGTATTCTTTTGTAAGAGTAGTCTTGACGTTTAAACAAGTGGAAGACTTTTATCTGATGGTTTTGATTGGTTGTTTTATTTTTAAATTGTCTGACTTATCTAGTAGAAAGTAATAAAAAGTCAAGTTTGTTTAGAGACGAAGATAAAAGTTAGGAAAGGATTAGTTCAAAGTTTAAGGGCCTCTTCCACCACATTGTAAATTGTCTGATAACAATCCGAGGTGTAAAACATGGGATGCGAATATCGGATTTTGTTCCCTTATCTGACAGTGACATCATTTTTAAGCTATCTAACCCTCTATCAGCCAGTGGTGGGATAGGCACTAATTCTCCTTTAGCTATGATTATTTTACTGCAATATTTACAAGAATTTAAAATACGTATAGTATGACTAAATTATAAAGCGGTTTCAAAAAGATGTTGATGAAGCTTGGTCGCTTAGGTGTGCCATTGTTCATACTTCTGTTTGTAAGTCTAAATTCAAATGAGTTCTTTGAAAGTTCTCGAAAACTCAAGCAGCTGTTCGTATGTAAAGAAATTCGGAGTGAAATTCTCATTCAATGCTCATAATGGTTGTAAGTACATGCTTTGTGCAACTGTAACGAGTCGTTTCTCTATACTTCCTTATACTATATAGATAAATTTATTTTACCATAGATTTTTAATTACTCTGTATAATCAGTCATGTGAGAAAATATTTAAGAATCAATAAATCACAAGACATATTTATAATGGTAATCATAACATAGACGAGTTAACAAACAAGAATGGACTAAAAAGATAATGACATTTATGTAAAAAAAAGTAAAAATTACAAGGAGTAACAAATAACAAAAACTTAACGAAATGCAAATGGAACTGTAATACGAAATCCAAAAGGACTATCACATATCGTTACTTCCGAGCTTAAGTAAACTCTCAACTGTAACTAACGTCACTATGTGGGAATACGCTCAGGTTTACGTTACAGCGTGTTTGAATGACACTTTCCGTAATAGGTTTCGTGACTAACGTCGGGCCCGTACGAGAAAGTTCGGCTCTCGTTTACCTCACGTTGCAATGGGGCGAGGTTTTTCACAAAACATTAATGTTAATGGAGTGAACTGCCATGGTGATTTATATTGGTCTTTTATGCAAGTTTCTTATGATGTAAGAAAATGATAAAAGTCAGAGTAACATGTAAATAAAAAGAGTTTTAATACGTAACTTTTGAAAAGTGATATAACGGCGCGAAGTAATTATTAATTTTTGAACGATTAAAGTTACTATCAAATATTAATTCATAATTGGTATAGTAATTTGAGTATTTGAGTCGACAACCCTAAATATAGTTGTCATTCGACGGTCGCTGGTCGACGTGCGCTTTGTTTGTGCGCACGTATAAAGTCAATTGATGAATCTCTGTAAATTTTTGTAATCCGCTCGTCACTTCGACATATAAGATAGAAAGAACAAAGCAATACTAGCGTTAAATATTAGTATCAACAGTTTATTAATACTAAACTGCTGTACTGTATTTGAAATTTAAAATAAGAAAATTCACATTTTTTTCAGTCACGTATTTCGATATTTTCGGAATATAATAACTCTTACCTTTTAATAGTGTCTGGTTCATTTAAGTGCTTAGTTGGCGAAAGGATTGTGAATTTTCTCCGACATCTTTTCCATTTGGAGGTTCTCCAAATGCTTTTATTGTCGATATCGAAGACCCTCGAGGCTTTAGTTAGATTTAAATGGACCGCACTAGTACTATTTAAATAATATTTACTCCAGAATTTGTTCATAAATGGTACGTTTTCGATATCTATTAGAGTTGATATGCTCTGCGATTTTTGGTACTAATAGGTTTGTTTGTTACAGGATATGGCATCATCTCTTTGAAGATCCCATCGTCTCCGGCCACTCATTGCACACTTCACACGACTGTTGGTTGTGTGGGCAACGACGAGTGTACAGCAAAGAGTCACAGCGTCATCAGACTTCTGGGACCAGTCAGAGATGTCATTGTACGACCAGCTCGACATCATTATAGACCTGGAGAAACTAGTAAGTCCATTACTATTTAATATACAACAACTGTATTAACTTAACTTCGAAGAAGTTTTTTTTTACAAAAAGGTAAACGAGCAAGCGGCCACCTAAATCCATCAAAATGGCAAATCTCCCGCTGCCAATAGACAACCGCAATGGCAAATGCGTTGCCTACCCTAAATCGACGGAGGAGGAGACGCACATAAAGAGGATATTTTCCTTTCCTATGCGTCTCCACCGTCAAATCCACTTTTCCATCCAATCCTTACCTTACTATAAAAAAGATGGGACGGGGAGGGAATAAAATTGGGCTTCCGGAAGTAAAATAAAAACAAGTTATTGGTTATTCTTATAGTAAGAAAATGAAGACATTATTCATAGCACTTTACTGTTACAAGTTAGCGTTGAATATTATTAGAACATTGCATTTGATTTTGAACAAGGATGAGTTCGACCGCACTCAAAAACACATCAGTGCATGTAAAACATAATCGAAGTGAAGTTTGCGAGCCGGCGGTCGGGATTGCGAGCTTGTTCGACTATTGCCAACTTTCCGTTTATTGTTCAAGTTGGAACGTAAACCGGGTGTTAGTCGGTGTAATTAATTACTAAGCAACGGCCCATACATTTCCCTACCAACTGCCTTTGTGACCGTTTGCGTACAAATTGACTTTCAAACATCAAGATGGTATTTAGGGATTAAAGAGAACTTAATTTATTGCCTTGACTTAAACTTGTGTCGTTGAAGAGTTTCTTGGAAAAATTAAGTATTGTTTTAAAGATGCTGCTGTGAATTTTGTAAACAATGATTAGGGCTTGTCCTACCAAATTGTAAAATGTCTGATAACAATTAAACGTGTAAAATATGTGATGGAAATGTCGGATTTTGTTCCCTTATCTGTGACAGTGACGTCATTTTTAAGCTATCTGAGTCTCTATCAGACAGTGGTGGGACAGGCCCTTAATATTTTAATTTGTAAGGTACAAAAATGTACTGAATCGATCGATGGTCGTGTCGTAAACACGCTATTAAAAAAAATGTTTTCTAAACCCCGAACTGAATATCCATTGTTAAATTTTCCTTCTCTTGCTATTAATTTTTGCTTGACTTCGCTGTTGTTTTACGAGTTTATTTTGTATCTCCACGATACTTAAATTTATGCTCCGCGCAAAACATTGCTTAATTGAATCAAACTCATTTGTTTAAAGATATCGTAGAATGTACTTTACCTTAAAGACATAAGGTTTATTTCACATTGGCGTTTGGCGTTTTCATAATTTTCGTATAAATCTGGATGTTTATGTAAATAATGCGAGATTATTCAAAAGCGATATTGTTCAAAGGTTCATTTGGAATCATTATTTTGAAGGTTAATGAATAATTTCGTTTCGTAACAAACACCATTGTGTCTAATAAACCAATATATTGGCACAAAAAATAATACTTAAGATAAATACTGCATTGTTTAGGATAAAAACAATTGAATTTGATCATAAAATTGGAATTAAATTGAAATTCTATTTTTACAGTTACATTCTGGATACTGGCGTTGGACCACGATTTACGATTGGTTCGCGGTGAAATAGCATATGTGTCCTTGAGTGACCCCGCGGGAACAAAGGTCGCTATTTGGGATCAGCTGTCAATGGATGAAGGTAAACAACATAAATGTCTCATTCTAAATATACTCGTTCTTAGGAGAATATATTTAGTTTAACATACGTTTCGGAGGGTATTGTCATATTTCAATAGTTATAACGCTTTAACATTGCATACACTCAGTTCTGTCAGTTTTAACTGAATACTTCAACTGTTAACTAACAGTTCAATTGAACATTCAAGTTCCTGCCTTCAAAATGAACAGTTCAAATACTTAGTTAAAACTGTAACTTAGAACTAAATTTATACACACGTCACATCACCAGCTCACTATACGTCCCCACCGAGGGGTTCGGAGCCTACCCTAATATGGGGTGACTAGGCCATAGTCAACCACGCTGGCCAAGTGCGGGTTGGTTGACTTCACACATATCTTTGAATTTCTTCGCCGATATGTGCAGGTTGCATCACGATGTTTTCCTTCACCGTAAGAACGTCGGGTAAATTATGTACGTATGGAAATTCGAAAAATCGAAAATCACATTGGTACATGGCGGGATTCGAACCCAAGACCTGCTGATTACAAGTCAAGTGTTCAAACCACTGAGCCACCGACGCTCTAAAAATTTATACACCGGGCAAAAATTAGGAAAGAATTGCTTTTAAATAATTATTAGTTATCTGTGGTATACGAAATAAAAGAAGGGCGTTAGTATCGATATGTATAATCCGACTAAAGTCGATGCATACAATTACGTCGTATAACCCGAACATAATTGCAAGTACATCACAGTATTGTCCAGTTATGTGAGAAAAAATGTTTAGTTAGAAACATTTAGGAATACGAAACTTCAACGTAATAATGATAATGTTATTTTTATTTTTTGCGTTAAATTATGTATATCCTTCATTTGTTTTTTTATAAACTTTGTTCACTCAAACATCTGTATTTTCCTTACTTATCGAATTTTCGTAACATAATCCCGAATGGGGTCTTGTAAACAATATCTATGGTAGGTAATGTTTTTTCTCGCTAAAAGCGTTTTCTTGTCACTGAAACAATGGATCAAGGCTGTACCGGTATCTGACAGATTCAATTTCCGATTACAAATAGTGACTATGCCTTTGTTTGGATTGCGTATTATACTCTCTTTTATGTTTATTCACGGGTTAGGTGATTTCTATTATAGATTAGAGTGGCTCGAAAAAGTGTCATGTACAAATATTTACGTCAAATATTTACTAATGTAATTGTATTTTCTAGTGACGAATTGACTAAACACTGTGATTTACGGTCGAATGCTGAATGTTAAACGCCGCCTATGATCTGACAGATGACAAAATTTCAATGGAATTTGAAATTAAAGCGTAGTCAAATGCCCGGGTCACACTTGCCCAGTACAGTTGCGTTGGCCAGTCATAAATTATATGGAATCACTGGTTTCATTTAGTGTTCGCACTATGCATCATATCATTCAAGACAGAGACAGTGCATTATCATTCAAGACGCTGTTTAAATTTCATATCATTTAGCTTGTAGTTTTTAGAGTAGTTACCTATTAATGAAATTGTAGCATATGCCAAGAAAAACATATCTACTTATTAGAATTATAATATCTCTAAAACCACAGTTCCAAATAACTAAGTAACGAAGTGACTAACTTTAAGCAGCAAAACTCAATAAAATTGAAAGTTCATTAAGTAACGACCACGACGCAATAAACTGGGGCAGTTTAGTGAAACTATTCCAAGTAAATTGTTTCATGTCACGGACTAAGATGGCTTGTAATTTAGCACTGTGTCGAAGTATTGGGTTTGCTAGACGAATTATGGGGTCGTTGGTTAAGTAAGATACCCTTCTTACTATATATCTATACCTCCATACTATTATAATAAAGCGTAAACACACACTTCTTTGTTGCCTAAGATGTCAGCAATTACAGCATATTTTTGAATAACTCTTTTTTTAATAAAAAGCAGTATACTTACGTCACGCTTTAGGCTATATGTTTTCACGCCGTTAAACTTAGGGGTAAATATTTTGGATAAAAACCCTAATGTGGGAAAGAGACCATAAGTTGTTGCCAACATCAAGGAAGCAAGGTTGCCATGGTTTGACGTTATTTCATTTTTACACTTGCTATTGATATTTTGACAAATGTGAACAATAAAATTAAATTTTTATAATTTTATGCGGAGGAAGTCACATGGGAACAGCTAGTTTATTGATAAAGGACTACTATGTCAATATAGACTGAGGATTAGTGTTTAGGTTAACATTGGCTCATTAACTCAATTGTTTTGTTAATAATAATAAGCGACGAAAGATACAAGTACATGTGGGTTTTAATCTTAATTGTCCAGGTGTTATCTATCTACGGTCACTCTTAATCTTATTTCTTACTAATATAAATGCGAAAGTTTAGGATGGTTCGATGTTAAGAGTTTGTAGCCTAAAATGCTGAACGGATGTTGATGAAATATAGGTACTTACTTTTTTTTTGTTTCTTTATTTCACGCGGACGGAGTCCCGGGGTGTAAGCTAGTAGAGAAATAAAACGTAGCTTTTTAAAAAAAGAAAACAGAATGCGTTCTAAAATCCCATATATTGTGGAAAAATGTTGCGTAACCGTATCATGGATTGGAGCCTTCTATAAAAGCCTTCTCGTGTCATATCCAGTGAAAACCCGTGTCAAATTGTGATAGATTGGATTTGCCTTTATATGGGCGGGTGACTTATTACTGATGGATGTATTCCCGTTCGTTTTACAAGCTTTGAGTGATTTTAGAATATAACCACGTTAAATCTGTATTTTAACAATTTATGAACCATTACCGGCGTAAGTGACATTTAGGCCAATGGGCTTTTGCCTTGAAGTCGGTATCTAGGCTTCGAATGCTTTTGGAACAAGTGTTAAAAGTAATTAGGTTAAGAGAAGTTCTTACGCTTGCTTGCCGCGAGCTCAGCGAAATGTTTTACTTAAGTTTCTACTGAGCTGTGCAGATACGTTTAATTTATTTATAATCAACATATCAGAAACTTTTTTTTATTAATGACTGGCTTTTGTCCGCGACTCCTTCCGCGTGAAATTTAATAATAAACAATAAAAAACATAGCCTATGTTACTTACAGATAAATTACCTTTGTAACGGTGAAAGAATTTTTGAAATTGGCCCAGTACTTTTTGAGCACATTCATTACAATCAAAAAAAAAATTTCCTCTTTATATATTAGTATACTCGAAATATTACCTTCTAGACTGATATAGAATTTCCTCAACAGGTGTAAGAAAATTAAGTTCCATCATTGCGCCGGGAGCTCGTTCGGGTATATGGAGGGTAGAGGCGAAGTGTGGTGGAGCATCAGCTCGGGTTGATATCACCGTAGGGTCAGGGGCAGGCGGCGCTAGTGCAGCCGCGCCGGCAGCTGAACAACACTATGTGGAATTGAGGTTCGCTGATAGCATGCGACGTCGGTACAAGCCTGGATTGCCTTTCGTTGGAAGGGTAAGTGTACTTCTTACTTTTAACTGACTTCCCAAGAAGGTTCTCAATTCGTCTTTTATTTTATTTAATGCAATTGAAGTCTTCTATTTGACTGACAATGGGTTTGCGTTTTTATCCCATATTGCCAATAGTTTTCTTTCCCTTAAGCGGTCAACGGCACTATTTTTTTTTTTTTAATTCATTTAATTTTACTATCGAGGAATTTTTTGTTAAAGTAAAATAAACAAATAAATTGTAGGGAGTCCTTTAGTATATTATCTTTGTATCATCTCCGTTAAAGAAAATGAAATGTTAAAAATTATTAAATCAATTTCAAATAGTTTATTTATTCCGTGGAAACTAAAATATAAAAAGATAAAACAAAATATCATTAGTCGAGCAATTAAATTTAAAAATGTTACATTTTCACTCCGACAAATTTCAAAGCTACAATTTTAAATCTTTGCAATTAGTAAAGTAATACGTTTGTACGTTGCTCTACGGGTGCCTGGAATAAGTTTTTCTTTTTTTAATAGTCTTGTATTTTTTTTTAAACACAGATTATCAACGTGTATGAAAGTTAACAAATGATGGTTCGTTAGCTCATACTTCGTTTGCAAAACTTTCGAGGATGCCTCTTTACCCTGACTTAACAATAAATACTTCTCTGTTAGTTTATCATGGATATGACACAGATTAAATCTAAATGTAATTCAACCGATTTGTTATTTATTAAAAATGCTAAGTATTACAAAGTATAAAATCGCTCATATAAAAACAAATTTACATATCTGAGAAATATGCTTAACTTAAGTCGGGAAAAGAGATTAATTAATTTTATGTTTTTTTTTTCGTTTAATACAATATGTAAATCAAATTCCTAATATTGTAATAAATAACATAGTACTTACATTCCCGTATTAAACACAAATATCAATGCCAATCGGCGTTCAGAAACTGCTAATATATCACGTCATATCCAGATGACGTAACAAGCGGGAAGTATTTTGTATGCGGTGGGTATATCCTTATTTTTCTTTCCCATGTCTTGGCAGTGTTACAATATAATAAATTACGGACGCAGCCTAACGAGGAGCTTTTATATCGACGTGATTCTTTCTTTGCTCTATCCGCTCTGTGTTTTGAATTACTGTTACTATTAGTTTTGTATCTTTGTAGGTTTGATGTTTAGCTACAAGAGAAGAATTTTTGAATTACAACGTCTTTTCCTCTTGTATATTTGAATTTTGATTAGTAATCTTCGGAACGGCTGGACCGATTTTGATGTGACTTTAACGGGAATATATCTTACGCATGCGGGAATATTTTAGACAACCTTTTTTATAATTCCTCGATGTCAAAATCGTTGGCTAGGTTCACCAACTATGGGCGCCACAGCCATGTAATGCCTTAATAAAATGTAGTCTTCATTACCTCTTATGTTTTCTTCCAATTTGCACAGAATACCTTACCAATATGGCCGTCGTATCGTCGAGCTAATGCAACACCCTTATTCTGACATCCGACTACTATCCGATTATTAACATAACAAACACAACTACGACATTTTAAAACCATGTCATAAATATTTTAAATAATGTTTTGGATCACAATTACAAAGCTTGTATCGCTATTTCAAATTATGACAAATGGTTCTGATTTATAGCACAGACTAACAACCTTCAAGAATACAGAATACGTCAAAGTAGTCAGAAAGCTAACACTACGGATATTTTACAAAGGGTGCATTATATTTTAAAAGACTGTTTGCGCTTGTTTATGCAACTAACGAAAGGAAACTTTTACGCATATTGCAATTTTCCTCTTTACATTCCAAAAACGTTGCTTAATGTTTACATGATGAAAAGTACTAAAAGGGAAATATACAAAAGTCAGTGACTGTGACGTTAAAGAGCCCCAAAAGTAAACGAGAAATCATGAACAACAAAATGAGAAAAATAAGCCATCGAATCCCAACGGATAAAAAGCTTATTCGTAATTAACATATAAATGTAGGTTACATATTGTTAGGGTCGTGACACACAAAGCGCGGAAATGGGGGCGAACATATTTAATTTTCACTGCCTCGAATTGGGTCCATTGCCGACAGATTTTGGACATAAGCCAAATCATGAATGAGTTTTATGGCTTAATCAACCTTTAGTGGACTTTATATTTCTACACTCTATGTTGAGAATTAGAATTCATAATATTTTTTATACCATTATTGCACGATCGGTTGTGATTGTTTTTGTAAATTCGTAGAGGCTTTTCTCTTGTGTAGAGAGGACTCATCTCCAATTTTTTTTGTTTAACATTCGCTTCAGTAATAAGCCGTTGGGATATAATTTGATTTCGTATTTATTTTTGTATATCAATTTTAAAAAAGTTTTAACTTTATGAACAGAGGAGGTACATAAGTATCCATAAAAAGTAAATTAAACTAATTTTGGTCCTTTTCCCTTTCCACCCTTTTCTTAAGAGGAAAGGATGGGAAGGAAAAGTGGATTTGACGGTAGAGGACGCATAGGAAGGGGAAATATTCTCTTTATTTGCATCTCCTCCTCCGTCAATTAAAGGTAGGCAACGCATCTGCAATTGCGGATGTTTATGGGCAGCGGTCGCATTCCATTTCGGCGGATTCAGGTGGCTGCTTGCTCGTTTGCCACCTTATATTATAAAAAAAAACTAGGATAAACAAAAAAAACCAATAGGTAGATTTTCCATTAATTTCTGAGTACGATATTTACATGAACTTTTTATATAACCGCTGTAGGCAAAGGCTACGAACACTTTATTATACATGGCTTAAAGGCTCTCGCGGGCATCATATCCGATATTAATTGCACTTTAATCATAAAAGGATTTACTCTCTGAATTTTATTTCATAAATATTAAATACACAGTTAATTCGATTCCTTTTAGAAATAAAAAACTTAAGTTTGGATACAAACCCAACAAAAGAAATACCTTGTTTATCTTATATTTATTCCTGTTTCACTGTTTTGGATCTAAGCCAGACCACCTTGGATAAACTTAATAGCTTAATTAAGTCTTAACACAATACGATAGCATATTCGTTTAGAACAAACCGAAATCTAGAGATTCAGAAATTAGGAATTAAGAGCATGTAATAAAAATATTATTAGTTAAATGTGAACAGACTACTATCGTGGAATTAATTTTATTTCATCTTTTTTAGGTTGAAGCAATGAGTACGGAGAAACGAGTGCGTGTTCGAGTTAAATTGTATGACGATAAAACGGACATCTACAGTCAAGATATCGACATGTCGACTGGAGAGGGAGGATTCATAGTTCCTACAGTAATGGCTGATGCACCCTATGTCAATTTACAGGTAAATTTCTCAACATTCAAAGCTACTTTTACCTATTAACTATACCTTATTTGAAAAAAATTTGAACAAATATCTACGACGATATGTTAAAAAGATCAGTACATTATTTGCTATACGAAAATGGTATCCTAGCAACAACGCGATTGCATATATTATTTCTCCAACTAAACTCTTTTGTTTTCGTTAGTAAAAAAGATATTTGAACGAACAATAAACACTCACTGATCTCATTTTAATCCAAAGTAACCAGCGTAGAGTTACGTATAATATCGGTCGTTCACGCCTCAAAGCTAATTTACGTTAATCGCGTCATTAATTGGATCCCAAGAAACTTGTGAAACTTCAATACGTCCTGCGTCCCCGCGCCTTCCCCCGGGACAGAAAATGTGGTTCCAGCGGCGAATACAAATGTGCAAATTTTAACATCCGCACACTTGCCAAAACATTTTAACGTTAATCCGCACGCGGCCCTCGATGTTTGAAGTGTTAAATCCCAACTACAAACTCGAATTATGTATGAAATAGTTATTTTGATGAGTTAAATTTTTAATTCTTATTTTCGTTTGTATTAAATAGTAGAATTTTTTTATTCGTTGAATAGTGATTTTAAACAGTTTGTCAATGTTATTTTAATAGATAAAAATAAAGGCTTTTTATTCATAGGAATAAATTAAAAAAGTTAAAACATTTATAGATGAGTTAAAAGACTACCTAGTCTCATTTACAAGGATTTTTTTTTACATTACTGTACTAGCTGTTCCCGTGCGGCTTCATCCGCATGTAATTATAAAAAAAAGTATTGTCAAATTGTCAATAGCAAATGTCAAAATGACATGACATGACAAACCTTGACAATCTTGCTTCCTTGATGTTGGCAGTAACTTATGGTCTCTTTCCCACATTAGGGTTTTTATCCAAAATATTTACCCCTTAGTTTAATGGCGTGAAAATACATAGCCTAAAGCCTGACGTAAGTGTAGGTATGTTTATTAAAAAAAGAATCATTCCAAAAAATGCTGCAATTGCTTCCATCTTAGGCAACAAAATAGTGTGTTTACACTTTATTATAACTAATAGTATAGATTTATCTGTTTTGTAAAAAGTTGAGTGTCTATACAAAGTTGAACCCTTAACAATTTTTATTCCCATTTTCGTAATGTCACTTGGGAGAAGCAATTACAGTGTAGAGGGCGCTACCATCATCAG